CAATATATAATCCCTAAAAACTAGAATCAGTAGCATATAACTCCTTTAAATGCTCAAATCCTAAAAAAATCGAGCATGCATAGTTGTCAATAGAGAGTATCTACGAGACAAAGCATCAGCAACTACATTATCTATAATTTACCATGCTTATATTGAATAACATATGAAAAAGATTCAATGTATTCAACCCATTTAGCATGGCGCCTATTGAGTTTGCTTTGACTTTAAGATACTTCAAAGATTCATGGTCAGTATGGATTACAAACTCTTTAGGCCTTAAGTAATGTTCCCAGTGTTCCAAAGCTCTAAAAAGAGCAAAGAACTCTTTGCCATATGTCGGGTAATTAAGAGCAGCCCCGTTTAGTTTTTCACTGAAATATGCAATAGGCTTGCCACCTTGCATTAAGACAGCTCCAATTCCAACTCCCGAAACATCACAATCCAATTCAAAAGTTTCCTCAAAGTTAGGCAAGGTAAGAACAGGTGTAGAGCTTAATTTTTCTTTCAATATGTTAAAAGCTAGCTCTTGTTTTTCACCCTATTGAAAACCAACATTTTTCTAATCACCTCAGTTAGTGCTGCAACAATGGTGCTAAAATCTTTCACAAATCGGCGATAGAAACTTGCTAAGTTGTGAAAGCTACGCACCTCACTAACTGTCATTGGCATTGGCCATTCGCTAATAGCTTGGGTTTGGCACTATCTACTTCAATTCCATTGGCACTAATAATAAAGCCAAGAAAATGAACATATGAGGTGCAAACTCACATTTTTTAAAATTTGCATATAATTTATTAGTTCTTAAAACAAAAAAAAATATCATGCAAATGTTGAACATGCTCTTCGAAGCTTTTTCTATATATTAGTATAACATCAAAATATACTACTACACTTTTGCCAATAAAATCTTTAAGCACATGGTTCATCAATCGCGTGAAAGTACTAGGTGCATTAGTGAGTCCAAATGGCATAACTAGCCATTCATATAGACCTTGTTTGGTCTTGAATGCAGTTTTCTATTCATCCCCTCACGAATCCTATTTTGATGGTACCCAGACCACAAATCAATTTTTGAATATATGCATGCACCATGTAGCTCATCTGACATGTCATCTAAACGGGGAATGGGAAAGCGATACTTTATTGTAATCTTATTTATAGCTCAACAGTCTACCCACATCCTCCATGACCCATCCTTTTTTGGCACCAGAAATACTGGTACATCACTAGGACTTAAGCTCTCCCTTATTTGTCCCTTTTCCAACAACTCAACCACTTGTTTATGAATTTCTTTAGTTTCTTCGGGGTTGCATCTATAAGCAGGTCTATTTGGTATAGGGGCCCGGGTATCAAGTCTATTTGGTGCTCTATTCCTCTCATAGGATGTAACCCACTTGGAATCTCTCCTGGAAATATATCATCAAAAACCTGCATTAAAGAAGAAATAGCCTCGGGCAAATGTTAAGGTTGGCTAGTTCAAGGAAAGACCCTTTGTAAAGCATAAGAAATATAGACTGTCCGGCATCAATCTCTCTCAATTTCTTTTCTTTTGCAGAATATGTTTGATTTTTTCCTTCTCTCTTTCTTTTGCTCACTTTTTTTTTCTCATTTTTTCCTTTTTTTTTTTTTTTTTTTTTTTTTTTTTTTTCATCATCATGAATTTTACTAGGAGCCAAAGGTACAAGAGTTACTTTCTTTCCTTCGTGTACAAATGAGTATCTATTACTAAAACCTTCGTAGATGGTTTTCTTGTCGAATTGCCAAGGCCTCCCTAAGAACACATGTGCAACCTGCATGGGGACTACATCACATAAAATCTCATCGGTATACTTTCCAATGGAGAGCGGAACTAACACCTGCTTGTCAACCTTGATTTCTCCATTTTTTTAGCCATTGTAGAGAGTATGGCATAAGGTGCCCCGGATGATCGAAAGTCAACGAGTGGATTTGCTATACTTTTTTTGGTAATAACTTGATTTGCTAGGCTTGGGGGAAGAAACATAGTGTGGCTCGTTCATCTACAGAAGCTGAATACAAAGCCTTAGCAGATGTGTCTACAGATGTTACTTGGCTGGTTTCTCTATTGAAGGAGCTTGGTGTGACTTTTGCGGCACCGCCTAAGCTATGGTGTGACAACTTGGGTGCTTCTTATTTATGCGCAAATCCTGGCTTTCATGCTCGCAGAAAGCACGTTGAAATTGATTATCACTTTGTTCGTGATAAAGTTGCTAACAGTGAGATCCAAGTCAATTTCATCTCTACAAAAGATCAACTTGCGGGCGGATCTTTTTACCTAGCCTCTTCATGGTAAACAATTTATGTTTTTATGAGACAAGCTCAATGTTGTGGGATATCAACATTGTGCTTATGGGGAGTGTTGGGACTCTGTTATTGTGTTAGACTAAGATTCTATTCTCTTGTACTTATATTTATATTCCGTATTGTTCTCTGTCGATAAAGAATTTGGAAAATGTGTTCTGACTAAAAATCAGGGAAGATATTGTTTTAAGAATCAAATTTAACATTTTTTGATAGACTAAAAATGAATATTTTCCTTTGACTTTATTTTTTTGAATAGCCAAATACGGAAAATTCAAAAATGACTTTCCGAAGTCATTTTCTAAATTTTTAAGCAAACCTTAAATGAACCTTTTAATTTACTTTTTAACACTTCATTTTCATTCAAAATAATTATTATATTTGACCTGACTAATTTAGCTATCTTGCTTGACGAGAGCTCATACGTTTCGTTGATTCACAGGAACCGCTATTTGATGTTGCGCTCTAGTTAAAGTCCGTTTTGTAATCCTAGTAAGGAAAAAATCATAAGAAGGTAAACCAACCTAAATTGTCCATAAATGACTAACTCAAGCTTAGAATGTCAATAGATAACTTTTACAGAAAGTAATATTTAAAATCGATCTTGTATTTATCAAGCTAACCATCCGATGGATAGAGTAGTACTTGTACTCATATCTCAGACTTTTCTTTAATTATACTTGCCGTACAATTTATTACGAATTATTGGCTACCTCTTGCTTGTTACGGATATATATTGACTATTGAGAGTTTCCGCTAGAAAATGAAAAGCGTGAACTGGTCACTATGCTTAATTATATAGAGTTAATACCCAAAATAGTCCCTTGACTATGTCGTAATTACCAATTTAGTCATCGACTATTATTCTTACGCCCAATTAAGTCCTCAACTATACAATTTTTACCCAATTTAGTCCTTTGTCAATTTGGCTGTTTATTGACTGTCAAAAGTGGAAATAAAGTTGTAATTTTACAAGTTTTCTCCTTCCTCCTCATTTAACAGCGCCAAACCATGTAGCAATAAGCTCCGGTTGGGTTCTAAACCTGTCAGTATCGTAGTAATGGTTATGCATCGGATAGCCCATGAATTTGATTTCCAACGATTTTTTGACGATCGAAATCTGATCGGAGTGTATTGCTGCATGGTTTGGCGCTGCTAAATGGAGAGGAAGGAGAAATCTTGTAAAATTATAATTTTATCCCGACTTTTGACAGTCAACAAACAGTCAAATTAATACAGAGGACTAAATTGGGTAAGAATTGTATAGTTGAGGACTAAATTGGATAAGAATTGTATAGTTGAGGACTTAATTGAGTAAAAGTTACATAGTTGAGGACTTAATTGGGTAAGAATGGTAGTTGAGGACCAAATTGGTAATTATGGCATAGTTGAGGGACCATTTTGGGTATTAACTCAATTATATATATGTAACTGGGTCAATTACATTTGACCATGAGTTAGTAAAGAGTGCACACAATAATCAAATATAAAAAAGAATTTGGTTTACCAAACATGTAGTTTACAGTGAGCTTTACCCAATACATATTCAGATAGTGGTTATGGATTTTTCTCATCACAAAAAAAAAATTAAAAAAGATTAAAAGTACAAAAAATGATCCAATAATGACACGTTAGTGACTCTACCTAATGATAATTTAATGAATCATTTGTAAATTGAAATTATCATCACAATTTATAATATTATATATCATCTCATTTTTATTATAGTGTAATTAAACGACTGAAAAAGAGTTGATGTGATTAAATTATTGGCAAGGTATTCCGGTCTCCAATTGTCAAATAATCATTTATCATGCATATTAATTATAGTAATTTTCAAGACCTGGTTTGTACCCAAAAGGGCAGAATAGTTCAATATATATACATAGGGTTATGTTTCTTATTCAAACTAACTTCCATACATTATATTTTCAAACAACGAACTATTCTTCGTTGCCCAAGTCTTATTTTTAATTTGTGCCCTATAAATGCACCCTTTTCTTTAACTCTCTTCACCAAAACTTAAAGGGAAAATTGCATCTTTAGTCCCTAAGTTTTAACCAAGTTCCGGTTTGGTCCCTAAGATATGAACGTATCCGAGTTTAGTCCCTCAGTTATTTACGAAGTGGCGTGTTTAGTCTCCGGTGTTAAAATTCTGTCAACGCTTAACTGAAAACTTACAAGTAAATTAATAATTGAAGGGTAAAATTGGAATTTCAAATTATAATCATTTCTTATATCCAAACCCTTACACAACCACATTCATTTCTTCTTTCTTCTACAATCTAAGGTGTTTTTCTTCCCTAAATTTTGAAATCTGAAATTCTTCTTCCCCAAGTTATGTTTGATTTAAATTAAATTTTTTTTTTCGAGTTGAATTAAAGTATACTCTCAATTGAAAGTAGAAATGAATAAAGATAAAGAAGTACATATAATACATATGTATACTGCTAAATGAAGTATGACAATTTCAATTTATACCAAAAATAGTTATATTAATAGATGTTTAGCACAAGTTATAGCTACACTGGTCAATCTTTTACATGTTCAACTTACCTTTCCAACAAAACATGGTCAGCACATGTTATACCTACACTAGACTATATTTGACATGTTATACTAACATTTCAAAGAAAAGCAATGACAACACCCTAGTTTGATATACAAAAGACCACAAAAAGAAGTTCATCACTGTCAACCATTTAGTTTGATACACAAAACACCACAAAACGAGGATCATCACAGATTCCTGACAAATCCATCCTACTTCTTTCTCAGTTTTTGCTTGGGGTGGAGTTGTTTCCTACTTTTCTTTGTAGTTGATGTACTTGCTTTTTCTGTGCTCTGAGTATCAAGTGGGGCAGCTTGAGATGTCCTTATAGCCTATTTAATCAAGTAGACATATTAGATGACATATTTAATGTATTTAATGTACTATTCATATCTCAACTAACCATTTCTACCGGCTGTTGCACACCGGAATCCACATTCATATTTTCTTGTACATTCAAAGGATGCACACTGGAGTCCATATCTACAGGCTGTTTTCACACTTGATGAATTAGTACGAGTGTACGAACTTAAACAATTTGAAACTTATTATGTATTAAAAATGTACCTGTTCTTGTTGCTGATGCTGGTTAAACCCTTCAATAGTAGATATAGTTGTATTCTATAATAAATATACATAATAATTGTTAGAAAAAAATATTAGCAGTATATTGAAAAAAACAAAGTGAATTCTTATACTACCTCTTTGGATGCCTTGCATCTTCTCTTGTTGTGTCCATGTTGGCCACAAAGTCCACACTTTTTCTTTTCTCCTATCCTTCCAAGTTTAGTTGGCATAGGTTCCTTCTCAATAGGATCTTTCCTTCTTAACTTTTTAGGTCTTCCAGGCTGGGGCTTATATTTGGGAGGCAAGGGTGGTGGTGCTCCTGTTTTTATCCATTGATCTAAAGATGAGATGGGCAGAATAGCTGGTTCATAACTCTTCAAATAAGCCTCCACTGAATAAAACCAATTTGTATACTCTATAGGATCTTGACCATTTTCTGAAATTGCAGAAATTGCATGTACACAAGGAATGCCTGTCAAGTCCCATCTTCTACATGAACAAGAACAAGTGTTTAAGTGCACCCAAAACAACTTCAAATCATCATCCTCAACCTGCCACCATTCATCATTTGACTTATAAGAAATGTAACCACCTATTTTCTCCTTGTTTTGTTCAATGCTTTTTACAATCTTTGGACAAATCTTCATAGGATTGTTCCTCATCTTATCCCTATTACGTTGCATTCTTTTCATAAGATATATTCTTAAACACTCCACCATGGTTATAATGTGTTTGTCTCTAGCATTCAAGATTGAAGAATTGTAGGACTCACACAAATTGTTCAACAACATGTCAGACTTAGTAGATGTGTCAAAGAAAGCTTGACAGAAATGGTGTGGAGACCTTTCACTAACCCACTCAGCTGCCTTTGGATTTAACACATGCATTGCCTCAATGTGCTGCTTAAATTCTGGTTGTGTAGTGGCTTTGCAAGCTGCCCAGAATACTCTCTTAAATACCTGACCCCCAAATTCATCTTTGGTGAAATTTTGGTGAAGATGTCTTACACAATTCCTATGTTCAACATTAGGTAATACCTCTTCAACTCCTTTTTGCTTGTCAGATATGAATGTCCAGCCATAAGGGTTACTATGAATTTCCAAATCAGATGCAAGGAATTGAAGAAACCATGTCCATGTCTCTTTTGTTTCACCTTCTACAACTGCAAATGCTATTGGAAACATGCAATTGTTAGCATCTACTCCTACTGCAACTAGAAGTTGTCCTCCTTTTTGGAACCCCTTCAAATGACAACCATCAATTCCTATCAATTGCCTACATCCAGCCAAAAACCCTTGTTTACATGCTATAAAACAGACATATAATCTGAGGAATCTGCACCTATTACCTTCCCTATCAGTTGTGTCTAATTTCATCTTAACAGTTGAACCTGGATTGCTTCTTCTAAGCTCTTCACAATAATCCCATAACATGTTAAACTGTTCTGCTTGCGTTCCAATTAATGATTCCTTAGCATTTCTCCTTGCTCTATAAGATTGATACTTAGACACATTACATCTAAATGTCGTTTTCACTTTCTTTTGGAATTCCTTCCTACCCCAATTTTCATTATCTTTGAATTCCTCCTTATAATACGTAGACAAAAACCTTGAAGTTATAGTTTTGTTCTTTTGTTGTGCTCCACAAGTATGTTTACCAAATGACTTTATGGTAAATGGACAACTTGGGTTACTCCTTGAAGCAAAAATTACCCAATTACAATGGTTTACTCTATATTTTGCTTGCACTATCCTCTTGTCATTCTTGGTGAACTTAACTGATTTTTTGTTCACTGCTTCATGCACTTCTACAACCCATTTAAATTCAGAATTGCTACTGAAAATCATGCCAACTTTGTAGTTAAAATCATGCTTTTTCTCATCTCCTTCCCTATAAACCAACAAGTTATTTTCACCTTCAATATCTGAGCTTGAACCAATGCTTCTAAGCTCATCTTCTGATTCCACCCAATCTTTCTCCCCTTCTAGATCATTTTGATTTAATCCAACAGTAAGAATATTAGGTGTGGATGAATTGCCAACATCAAGATTTTGATTTAATCCAACAGTAAGGATATTAGGTGTGGATGAATTGCCAACATCAAGATTTTGCTCATCATCACTACCATCATCCATAAACTCTGAACACTCTTCCCTCACAGAAGCTGATATCTCAGTTTCACTCCCTTTCACTAGTTCATCTGCATTTTTAATCAATTCCAATAGTGATACATACAAATTGAAGCTGCAATTTATCCCTACGTAGAAAATAGCAGCAAACATTTTGCATGTTGAGTACAGTTATTCTAGGATTTGGGTACACATCCCTGTCACTTGAGATTCATACCAACTGCTAAGATTCTTTAACTCATAAATTTTTCTAGATAACATAGCCAACTAGACATCTTAACCATAGATGAGACAAAGAGTGAAAGGATGCTACATTGACAGAATTTGGGAAAGATCTTGAAATCTATCTATTATGTTTGACAGATTAGGCTAACTTCTCCATCTTTAATGGCAATTTTATTGTATAGAAGAGCTATGTGGTATTCTAATTTAACTCAGACATGGACCCTAGCACATTCGCACAACAATAAAAAATAAAAAAAAATAAAAAAAAAAGTTTTAGGAATATGTGAATCGACAGTGGACATCGCCATGGATAACGGTCTCAAACTCGGCTTGACACAATGTAGACAAACATAATTTACAGGAGCCTGAAATCGGGAAAATTTATGTCATACCAAAGGCATATTCAGGACTGAACCTCTTCACGTGAAGAGCATAAGATAGACTAAAGGGTCGTTGAACAATACATATAAAACAACAGATAATAGTATAATACCACTAATTTTGGCCTATTTTTTGTTTTTTTTTTACCTGAACGGCAAACACGAGCATTTCCAATTGCGAACAGAGCTATATACACATATAAGCTTTTAAAGCAAAAGGCAGCAAAGCAAAATACTGCCCCGAAAAATGTTGCTATAGAGAGAAGCTGCAGTAACGATGAGACATACATACATGGCTTTACAGACAAAAACCACTTTAGTAGTAAAAGAATAGTCATTCCCCCTCACATGGACCACACATTCACATAAATACAAAAACTGAAACATGGACCTAACACATTCGCACATCAAAAAACACAAAAACTCAAAAGTTATTAAACTCTAATTTCACAAAAACACTTACAAGTGGGTGGTAGATTTGTGCCCAACAAAGTTGTAGAAGTTATTGTAGTGTAGGATTTGTTCTCCTTCTAACCTGCGAAGTGCGCTTTCATCCCCTGCTTAAGCTTCGAATTCTTCTTTCTTACACTGCAATTAGGTTTCAAAATTTGGGGGAAGGGGAAGGGGAAGGGCGCTGATTATCTGTTGTCGAATTGAAAAATACTCCGTATGCTTTATTTTGGGGGGAAATGGGGAATGGGTTATAATAAGTAAAAATGGGTAATAATAAGTTATATTTAATTATTAATTTACTTTTTTACCCCTTAAATTAACACTGTTAACAAAACATTAACGGCAGGGATCAAAAACGCCACTTAACTCATAACTGAGGGACTAAAAATGGATACGGTTATAACTTAGGGACCGAGTCGTCACTACGATAATAACTTAGGGACTAAATATGCCATTTTCCCAAACTTAAAACACATTCTAATTATTAGCAAGCAACCTCACAGATCGAAGTGGCATCTTTTACCTTCTTTTTTCTTCACGCTTTGCTCTTGCTTTCTCTTGCAACCGTAACGTTCTCACATGATCTCTCTCCTTCCTTCTACAATCATGTCTGCCCTCAAGCTTTGCCCACCATTAGAAGGGTTGTCGAGGATGCTATAAAGCAAGAACGACGAATGGGTGGCTCTTTGTTACGTCTACATTTTCACGATTGTTTCGTTAATGTAATATTTCATGCATTACTACCTATCTTTTTCACGCCTATCGTTAATGTTAAACTCTTCTTAATTTACTTTATTATTCAAATCTCATTCTAATTAATATAATTGTCCTAACTCGATCAATTCATTGGCCGGATGCAGGGTTGTGATGCTTCAATTCTGCTAGACTCTACGCCTACCATTGACAGTGAAAAGAATGCACTTGCCAACAATAATTCTGCTCAAGGGTTCGAAGTCATTGATAGAATCAAGTCGGAAGTTGATAGAGTCTGTGGTCGCCCAGTAGTCTCTTGTGCTGACATTTTGGCTGTGGCTGCTCGTGATTCTGTAGTTGCGGTATATATTCTATCTCACCATTATATTAAAACCTATATATACATACCCAAATAACTAGCTAGCTAGCTTAGCTTTAACATGAATGATATATACTTTTGGGTACGGTGCAGTTAGGAGGACCAACATGGGAGGTGAAACTAGGAAGGAGGGACTCTACTACAGCAAGCAAAGACACAGCAAACAATAATCTTCCAAACCCATTTATGGACTTATCTCAATTGACAGACAATTTCAAGAATCAAGGTTTGAATACTAAGGATCTGGTTGCACTTTCGGGCGGTCACACCTTAGGATTTGCTCAGTGCTTTACATTTCGGCAGCGCATCTACGGGGATAAAGACATTGATTCTAAGTTTGCAAGGCAACGGCAAGCGAATTGCCCTATGAATGGGGGAAACTCGAGCCTGGCTTCTCTTGACCCAACTCCTGCTTATTTCGACGCCAAGTATTTCAAGAACTTGGTGAAAAAGAAAGGGCTGTTGGTGTCTGATCAAGCATTGTTTACTGGTGGCCAAACTGATGATCTTGTTCGGTTGTATAGCAGAAATCATGGTGCTTTCTCCAATGACTTTGCTAAGTCCATGATTAAAATGGGGGATATTAAACCATTGACAGGAAACATTGGTCAAATTCGAGTGAACTGCAGAAGGGTGAACTACTACTGATGAACAATTCTTTCATTCTTTTCTTGTTAAATTAATTGATTATACAATTGTTTTTGTATGTACTTGGTTGATTCATTTATTTTTTATTCCTTTTACTTTTTTTGAGGCTTAATTGTTTCAATGAAAATATACAAATGTAAAATAGATCACAGCACATGTATCACAGATAAAGTTGATATTATTCTTCAATTCTAGTGACTTTTTTTAAGTTATTAATTCTTTTTTATATATATAAATTTATGGGTGTCATTCTTTTTTTGTCTTTTTTTATTGAACATCCCCTCCTCCTGCTTAATGTGCTATTGTCATTCGTCAACAAATCTGGTTAAATGACGTTAAACATGAGGAGATTTCGGTCCATTCAGCGTACCATCTTCTCGCTTTTCTTTGTTGTAATAACTAATTCCTTTGTGAGTTAATTCCATTTTTTGTCATAGATTTTTAGATGATATTTCACTTTTAGGCATTTTTGTTCAAAACATCCCTTGTTGGTTTTAGTATTATTGTGACATTTGACCATTTTTAGTCTTCCTTCAACAAACCTATTTAAATGGCGTCAAATATGAGATCATTGCAATCAATTTTGATGGCCCTAAATTTATGTGTCATTCCACTGTTGTGGAGGCTCAAGTTGCAGAGGCGCGGATTGCTATTGAAGAAGCTAAGACAAGGGACTCTTGCCATGAATTAGGGATTTTATTAAAAAAAAAGAAATTAAATATATATCGAGTCAATCCACTATGTACAAAAAGACAAAAATACTCTCGTATAGTATTTCATGTCATGAACCTCTTTTTTTTTTTTTTTTTTTTTTTTTTTTTTTTTTTTTTTTCTAAATAGGTTTGTTAATGGAGGATACAAAATAGTTATAGCACAATAATACTAGCCTGGACCAATAGGGAATGTATGTTCTGAAGAAAAAAAAAAGGAATAAAAGTCGAATGATACATATAAATCTCAAACCCTAAATGGAATTAACTCTTCCTTTGTTAGTCCTAGCATTATTGTGGCATGACCTAGCTATTATTATTTTGGCATGATCATTTTTGGTCCTTTGTCAACATATCTATTTAAATGGTATTAAACATGAAGACATTTCTATATATTCAGTGTACTATCTTCTCAACTCTTCTTTATTCTAATATATTCTCAACCTTGTAAACCAAATTTCATACCTAAAGGGAAATTTTGAGTGGTTTATGAAAGAAGAAGCTTTAAATTTGAAATTAGGTTTATAAGGTTGATGCTTTATTAGAACTTGTTGGTTCTGGGTTTGGTAAAATATTAGAAGGGGGTGTGTGGTTGAATATACTTTTTTTTTTTTTTTCAAAATAATTAACTTAAATGATTTTAAAATCAAAGCTTACCGCCAGCTCGAAAGCATAGTGATAGGGCTGCAAAAGTCTAAAAGATTTGTAGCACGACATTAATTGCTGACACGACATGGCAAGGTTTATCCAAATCTCTAAGAAACAATGAGAAGGGAAGAAGAGTGAACAAAGGAGTCGGGAAACGAAGGACGGACAAGTCCAAGCAAGAGGAGGCAGTTGGATACTTTACAGTACTAAACGTTGCACTAAGGACCGAAAAGGGAGGGACTAGATTATGGTATATGCACCCCGAAGACCGGACGGCGACGGTGAGTGGATGACCGGTGACGGAGGGTACCATCGGAGAAGAAGAAGGGACATGTATTGCTAGGGCTTAAGGTGATTAATGCTGTCCTTACTAGAATCATCAAACTCCAAAGCAAGTCATTTCCATCGATGAGAGCTGACTCCCAAGACTCGAGTAAAAGAGGCATTCGAGACCAAGTGTCGTAAGGAGTCGGCGGCGTATCCTAAAGAGTACCATTGAGAGCAATTAATGAGGAGTTAGAACAGCCATTAAAAGCAGATTATGGGAGGGAGTAGTGGGTAAAACAGAAGTTAAGTACGTTTTAAAGGCATTCAATGCTCATAATCACTCATTAAATGTCTTTACGCTGAATCCGAGTCCCAACGGGCACTCGAATTCCTATAAATAGTTTTTCGCAACATTTTAATAGGCTGAGCTTTCCAAATATACAAGAGTATTTTTCCGATCAATATCCACTCCTGTTTACATATTTTCCAGTGATCCACCATCTTTTCTGATTGTGTTGGACCCCCGGTAGGCTTCCCAAAAGTCTAGAAACCTACATATGGTAATGCAAGAAGTGGGGGGCGGGGACGCGGGGGGGGGGGGGGGGGGGTGGGGGAGGGGGGGTTTATGTTCCAAAGAAATTTGATCATTAGGGCTTAAACCTCAACCGGTAGTATTGGAGAGAGAATTTTCACCGCCTTCCTCTAACAAAGTAACACGTAGCTTGCAACAATAGTGTGGATGGACGTGCATTAAATGTGTCAGTACGAACCATCAAGTTAATTTGAATCGTGAAATTCTATTTGCACCACCATATTTGCTATTTACACAACTCATTTAATAGGTGTAATAGCTTTATAGGTGGTGAAAATATAAAAGTGTTATTTGCACCACCTTCATTAAATGTAGTCAAACATTAATATGTATTATTATTTATTTATTTTAACAATAAAACTATTAATTAAGAAATAGTAAAACTCGCTTTCTCCGGTGAGAAGGTGAGGGGCTGCCTTCTAAGGTGAGAAGGCAGCCTAGCGGGTCGCCTTTTCACCCGGAGAAGGCAACCCAGGTAGAAAGCTACCTGGGGCGCCTTCTCTGGTGAGAAGGCGAACCACTTGGTTGCCTTCTCACCGGAGAAAGTAGCCGGAGAAGGCGACCCAATAGGTTGCCTTCTGAACGGAGAAAGCAGCCCATCAAGTGAGTTGCTGTAACACCCCTAAAATTTAAAACTTTAAATGCTTATGAAATAAAGGCAATACTATCATTAAACCTCGAAACTGAGCATAACTAAACATAAGTTGTGACACCCGGTATTTTTCTAAAAATAAATTATAGTCCCGATAATAAATATTTTTAATAAAAATATTTATATAGCTATTTATTTTAAAACGGGCTCGGGTCTACCTATTATGGTGAACCAATATTTTTGTACAAAATATGCCTAGACCTAAAATGAGTTTTAATCCCTAAGGCCTAATAATTATTCTTGAGCCAAAGTGCTTAATTATCCTAAGATTATATATTATATAAGTCTTGAACCCCACAAGTTGAGCCCATATGTATGTATAAATATAAGTATTATTATTTTGTGAGCCTAAAGTGTTTAAGCCCAACCTATGTTACCCAACCCAACCCATTCATTGAATAACCGTACTATCTAGTGTGTATGTGGAAGCATTGTATCATTCCCATTCTAGACTTCAACGTTCAGCAGCCAAACACTCTTCCTCACCCTCTCGGCATTGGCGTGAACGAGCAACCAGCAATCCTTCATTTTCGCCCCTCCCTCTCGTGTCTCTCTCTCTCGTTTGGTTTCCCGTTCACGGAGACGTGAACCTCACCCCAAGCCTTCCCCTGTATCTCTTTCCTCTTCCCTTCAGTGTAGTTCGAACCATAGAAGCTCCGGCAGCAACAATGGCGACGAATAGGGTAGCGTTTGCTCCGACGATGCGTTTCGTCTCCGGTGGTCGTCCAGCGGCGGCAGTTGAGCAAGTGGCAGCAGCTTGGACAATGGTGGCGTGGTCGACTCTCCGGCGGCAGTTTTGGGTCTGGCGAAGTCAGCTATGGGGTGGGCGTGGGTGGTTGGCGGTGCTGCGGCTGGTCAAGGGATGCCGGCGTGATGGTGGTGTCTCCGGCGGTGGCTTTGGTTCTCATCGAAGAAGCAGGCAGCGGGCAGAACGACAGTAGGAGAACTCACCGCCGTTCCACCCGCTGTTTCCGTGAGGCTCGTCGAAGAAGAAGGCAGTAGTTGGTGAGCTTTGGTTTTGTTGTTATTGTTGTGTAGTTTAGAGGTTATTAGTTTTAATGTTGATTAGAGTTACTAAGTGGTTAATTAGCTTGGTGGTAAGGGTGGTGTTTGTGCTTATGCGTGGCTAGGTTTTGAATCGTAGCTTTGCTTAATTAGTGTTATGTTGTTAAGTTTTAATTACAAGTTCTACCCTAGAGGTTTAATTAATAGTTTTCTTATTAGTGTTGTAATTATATTAACAATAGGATGCCTAGCCTAGATGGTTAAGCTTGTGGGTAATTTAGGGAAGAACTAGAGTTTAAATCCCCTTATAAGTTTAATTAGTTTTAATTAGTACGTTTGTTAATAGTTGAGGATCGGTTTGATTCACAGGTTCCCGTTTGGCTTATGAGTTGAGCCTGGCTTAAGTTGGCGTTGACCCATTCCTTGATTGAGTATGGTTTCATATCTTCGTTGTGATTCGTTGATTGATTCCTGTTGTAGTGTGGTGTGTGTGGCTTTACCTGGATTGCACGATTAGTGGTATGGGACACTAGTCACCAAGGTATGGCAGCGGTCCTCGTGGTGGCCGTGACATGATTATGGAGTTGTAACCTTTGTGTAAGGTTCACGTGATTCTTGGGTGGCATGTGTTGCCGTGTGTGTGTACGGTACCCTCATGTACTATGAAATTGGTGGTCTCGTTGGTGGTCGTTGGTGGGGGACAACGGTTCCAGGAGGGAAAAGGTTGGACTTGGTTGTACAGGGGTCCTGGAGGTAATGGTTGGAAGAAGATATAAGGTTGGGGTAGCCATAAGTTTGGAACCGGGCATAAGGAAGGCATATCAACTCGTGATGGGTGATGTCACGAGGGCTTGTGTAGCCGTTGTTGTGAGTTCCCTTCTTGTGACGTGTAGTCACAATGGCATGTGTTGCCGTTTGTCATGTCTTATTCTTTTGAGTTGTGCATGTCGGGTTTTGATCTATTGTGTGATGATAGATCATGCCTTGAGCCGTTCTTGTGTGTCTTGTAGTTCTTGGTGGTCTTGGGATGTGTTACCGTGTTGTTGTTGAGAGTGGTGAGTCTTGTGTTGACTATTACTCTTGGTTTTTGACTTATATATATGTATTCCGTTTCGAAAATGGTTTTTGTATATATATCCTATCTATGTATGATACTTAACAGGTATTGGTGGGTTACCAGCATTATTTGCTGACCGGGCGTCGTCCCATTTCTATTTGTTGCTTTATAGGTTGGGTAGCTTTGGAGAGCGCGATAGTGGCCTGTAGA